CACTATTCTGCCTGGCAAATAGAGGCTGAAATAGCAACAATTAGCAAGAAGGTCAACAGAGGCTTATATAATGAAAGTTGCAGTGTAGCTTAAATAATTAACAAGCTAGGTTGTACAATTTCTTCTTCATGTGTTCCTGAAGAGGTACACCGCTCAACTAATACGTCCAAGGCTTCATTCATCCACCAATGCTGACAAAGGTTTCTTGGTTCATCCACAGTCACCTGTAAAGTAGGAAAAATTCCACTTATAAATCAAGGAAACTCAGGTAGCCGGAAATTATGAATGTGCACAGACACATTGCAGTGACAAGAAATAAACCCATATTCTTTGCCCGATAAATTCCTCAGACCATAGTTCAGGTTGTTCTGGAATAAGCACAGCGAACATGTGCCCTCCATTAAATGTGTTTTTGCTCTTTGTTAGATAGTTCCATTTCCCCAAATAATCGCGCCATTTGTATGATCATGTATATGATTAAATTCAGAAACTCCATGGATACAAATGACTTGTAAAGGAATCAACATTTGAAAATTTTGATGATATACTGACATCAAAATGACCCATAACCCCTGCTTTAATAAATGACACACGTTCGGCTGCGTCTCCCAAACTTTCATCAACTCCCCAATAAACCTGATGAAACAATAGAATGTTAATGGATAACTACAACTATAAATTACCGTTTCATCTTTAGAGAAAACTCCATGTACCTTAGGAAACTTCATTCCTGGACCATTCCGCGATCTCACAAGAAGTAATTCCAATTCATGCCTGCCGCTTCTGTATCTATATGGAATACATCTGCAAATTGGAACATTCCTATATAAGCAACTTGTTGCATAATGGTTCTAATTTAATCAATTTATCATAAAAGGCAAAGTTGTCTTTGCCTTCCTTTATAAGCCTTGGTTTTCATTATTTTGCTCTAAGACAAATGAAAATTACAAAGCTTGAGAGCTTGGTTTAGAGAGACTTGGGTTTGTGCAAATAATTAGATTGGTCTGTAGGACTGAATTTGATTTGAGATTGAGAGTGCTTTTAATACTAAACAAGCGTGAAGCTTTAACTTCTGCACATCAAATGTTTGATAAATTGTCACACTTTTTTTTTTTTTTTTTTTTTTAAATTTCAACACAATTAGTAATGAAGCATAACACATTTCTATATTACTTCCAAAATGAGACCAAATAAACAAGAACAAACAGCCACTTAAGACACTTGAATGTCGTAACCAAATGCTCAAACAAAGCCAAATGAACGGAATTATTCTAGCAAATTGCTTGATGGGTAAAAATCAAAATAAATAGTAATGAGGACAAAAATCAGTAACTAAGCTTTATGAAAATTGAGAGAAGATCATCTTAAAATCGTCAAAATGAAAAAAAAAATAGTACTCACCCTACAACTTGGCGGCGACCCCTTGAATCACATCTCTGCAACTGCCTTTCCCGGGAAGAAATCAAAGGATAATCTGACTCCATTATTATACGAAGAATTCCTGAAAAACTATGAAAAAGGGTGAAACTGATGGATTATTTACCCTTTAATTTAGTTGGCCTAATTAACTGAGGAAAATGTATAGAATTTCTGAGCTATCAATATGACTAGACCAACAACACTAACATCAGTCATCTCACAGGACTAAAGTGTTTGTATTTAAGGCAAAGTACAACAAAACAAACCCTAAACCTCAGGGATCAAAGATAAATATCCGACATAACAATTAGCAAGAAGGTCAACAGAGGTTTACTTGATGAAAGTTGCCGTGTAGCTTAGGTACAATTTCTCCTTCCAGCGTTCGTAAGGAGGTACATATTACAACTAACATGTCCAAAGCTATATTCATCCACCAATGCTTCATCCACAGTCACCTGTAAAACAGGAAAGATTCACTTATAAATGAAGATTTATCAGCTACCCAGAAACTTTGAATAAGCACAAAAATACATACATATATACATACATGCATGCACGCATTTTGTGGCCGGAATATAAACAAGTGCATTATTTCATTTATCCAATAAAATCATATCTAAAAGCTTACTTTCATCTCTCTTCACTATTAGTATCACTATTAGTATGATATGATAGAATTTAAGGTGTGTTTGACTTCTCACCCAATAAGGTCTTATTGAATGAGAGCATGACACAACAAGGCACGGCACAGCATAGCTCATGATTATGCAGGCTGTACCGTGGGCCGGCGCGCCATGGCACGAAAAATATAAAAATTTAAAAATGTTTTACTGAAGATATGTTTGAAGTTTTTGAGAATTTAGAAATTAATGAAAATGAAGATGTATAATAATTCTTAATCCTAATTTCTAAGTTTGTATTTGTAATTTATAATTATAATTTATAAGTAATAAAAAATGTTGAAATTCAATTAATATTTTAATGTCTCATTATTTTATTATATTTCATAGTGATTATATTTTTTTAATTAATATAAATACAAAATATCACTAAATATAAAATATAAAATATTTTTATAATAATTATTAATAATAAATCAAAGTTAACATAATTTATATATATTAAAATTAAATATTTTTACAAAACACGTGGACCGGCTCATGGCATGACACGGCACGATATATAGTAGGTTGTGCCGTGGGCCTTCAAATTTGGTGAGCCGGTACGGCGTGACAGGGCACGAATTTTTGCGAGCTTTGGCACAACACGGCCCACCATCACCTCTAGGATTACCCCTTCTTATAAATTAGTAAGCTTGAGCGTGCTTAATCAATATGGGACTCCAACACTCCTCCTCACGGTCAAGCCCATATGTTGGGTCATGCCTGTTGATGGTGGTAGTTGCTGGCTCTAACTCCTCACCCGTTGGTCAAGCATTCAGCTCAACTGGGTCTGGCTCTGATACCATGATAGAATTTGAGATGGGTCTGACTCCTCACTCAATAAGGCATGTTAAATGGGAAGATTACCCCTTTTTATAAACCAGTAGGCTTAAGCGTGTCTATTCAGTATGGGACTCTGACACTCCCTTTCATGGTCAAGCCCATATGTTGGGTCATGTCTATTGTTGGAGGTAGTTGTTGGCTCTAACTCCTCACCCGCTGGTCAAACACTCAGCTCAAGTGGACCTAACTCTAATATCATTATAGAATTTGAGATGGACCTAACTCGTCACCCAATAAGGCCTTATTGGGTGAGGAGTCAGACCCACTTCAAATTATATCAAACTCTTTTACAAAACTATGAAACAAAACCTTTTAATAGTAGATATTTAATACTTTCTGAACTAAGTGGATGCATTTCACTTTAAGCAATCTCATAAGAGGAAAATGGTATAAACTCTATTATATAATTTTAGATACAAATTGTTAAGAAAAAGCCGCATAAACCTGGCTGGGGCGGACTTGGTTTAGTTACAAGAGGGACAATATTTGAGCCTCGCTCAAACTCTTTATAAGCCCATTAATCGAATTTTAAAAATTAAAATCATATTATAGAATAAAAAATTGCCAATAACAATTTAAAATGGGTAAAATAGCTATTTTCAAAGCTCCCATCATTCAATCACAATAAACATTATTTCGATAGAAAAAGAAATAATTAAATTCTAAATATCTATTAAATTTTGAACTTTGTATACTAGACCTTGTATAGAAAATTTGTAAGAGTAATATTATTCTTATTCTATTTAGATATTATAGGAAAGAAATTTGGTTCATGTAAAGGAAAGTGAAATAATAACAATAAAATGTTTAATTATAGTCATATATACAAAAAGAAATATATGTAACACAACCAATTGACTTTATACTTTAATACAAATTTATGTAAAGTACAATAATTTAATTCATGTGTCCTATTATTAAAATTGCTATTATCTTCAATCTTAGGGGATCCAATAATCAATTGGAAATCACCAATCTGCCGAGCAATTAGAGGCTGAAATAGAAGAACAACAATTAGATATCTAAAAATATTTAAAGAAATTAACCTTCTTACAGAGAGATTAATTTCTTGATGAAACCAACCTACCTATGCACTTGGCCCCAACCTCGAATTTTTTGGAGTGGAAGTGGGTAATCCCTCGAGGGGAATGCAATACCCACGCCCAAAAATACCCAGGTTAGTCTCATTTTCTTTTTTGTATTTTTAATAAGAGTTAGATATACTTTCGAAAAAGTCATTTAAAACAAGTAATACAACCTTTTTAGTTAGTTAAAAGAAAAAAAAAAGAAAAAAAAAAAAAGATTTTTCCGTTTAGACAAATATAATGATTCAAAATCTTTAAGTCATACAACTAAATAAGTCAAAAATGTCTTATTTAAAGAAAAATTTGGCTACACCCGACACCCCCGACCTTCAACACGAAGTTTTAATTGTGTTTTAATATAGCATTTGTATATGAAAACTTCATCTTGATTTTAGGGAAATAAGGATAATTATTTTGGTTAGTAGTATTGACCAAGACATAAAAATAATAAATAAATAAAAAAGCAGCTTCCATCGAGTTTTATAACTAAATAATCCCAACTTGTGTACTTCATATTAGGGAAACATAAACACTAAATTAAGTTGTGTAATTCTTTAAAACATGGCATCTAATCCAATGACTCACTGTATTATATTATATATATAATTTGTGGCATCCAAAGTCAACAAGTCGTTGTAGTATAGTGGTAAGTATTCCCGCCTGTCACGCGGGTGACCCGGGTTCGATCCCCGGCAACGGCGAATTTGTTGTTTTTTTATTTTTTTTTGTATGTTTTTTAGCCAATTCAGTAATTTCAAATTGTTTGACTGCAATTTGCAGGAAAGAGAAAGATTACTAGTTGTATATCGTCACAAATTGAATTTCAAACAGTTTAACCGTTAGGTTGACATAATATGTTCAATACACCCAAAATCCATGGAAATCTTTGTTCATTTCTTTTGTTAATTCCTAATTTGCAGAATGCTTGATCAGTAAGAAAGTGAGGGGAAACGTTAGAAAATGCAAGAAAACTAGTGGGTTCAAAGAATAATTCAAAAGAAAATTATAGCTGATATGTATTCATGATTGGAACACTGCCATATTTGTAAATTGTAGTAGTCCACACTCCAGACAAATTCATTGAAGCATCTCTCCTCTTACTCATTCCTCCTCTCATCCCGATTCTCTAGAATTTTAGAATATAGTAAACCAAAGGCAAATATGATAGGCCAAGAAGAAATATTAATAAGCTTATCATCAGTTTGTGCATAATTGATTGCAGTAACAATACACTGACAAAGAGCACAAACGGATCCAACAAAATCCTTGAAGCTACCAAAAGGCTTATAATTTTGGGATGCATTATAAAACCAAGGTAACCACCTCCTCCACCTCCAGATGAACTGTCCTTTTTGAACTTTATAAATGAGCTCAGCAATGCATATAAACAAAGCAACAAATGATAGTAGCATTGCAAATAGTTCATATTGAGCTTTATGTGTGGATGAGAGTTGGTCAAGAACAGCCGAGGGAACCTCGAGGACGAAGTTGGTGATGATAAAGATCCACTCTAAAGAAACCTGTATAGAAATTAAATAAAATCATCATCATTTACTTGGACATTATGCTAAATCATTTCCTATAATTTCTTTCTCTAATTTTAAACCTTTCGACTACAGCTATATGTTCCGCAATGTGTTCTATGTACAATGTTGCTATTATTTGGTTCGACATCAATGATGTAGGAATCTCGGATCTCAGGAGAGGTACGCTGTTGAACTAAAATGTTCAAGGCTTCATTTATCTGTTCAATCAAGAAATTAAGAAGTTTGACTATTTATATGAAGTGCAGTTGAAAAACAGTAAAAGCTGCCAATCTTCAATGTTTAAGAAAAAAAACACCATAGAACTTTTGTTTAAAAAAGAAAAGGATTGACAGAAGAGACTGGTTATACTTCACCCAAATGATAGCCATTAACCGAGTAAACTCATCTGGAGAAGCTGCCCTTTGAACAAGTATTTCAGCCATGCGACCATAATCTACAGACTTCAAGAGTAGCAGTGCTCGAGTCAGAAAATTACAAATGAACAAAAGAATTCATGACAAAATACTTGATGCAAATGATCCACCAAAAGCCATTTTCTGCTGGCATCACAAGTCCAAAATAAATCCTACGATCCAAAAATGATATAAAGTAAAGCTGAAAGGCAAGTAATCAGGAAGTAGATATCACAGCAACAAATAGTATCAGAAATTTGAAATTTTAGAAGAAGTCTTACTGGGGAGTTTTTAATGTCTTGAAGAAACTTTGAAAGGACTGAATCAGCTTGTTGCCGAATTTCATGACTAGAATCACTTAACATATTAAACAAACCTGAAATTTATCCAGAATTTCTGAGTTTAATCTCAACAAGTAGAAAAGAAGGACACCTGAAAACCAGGAGAAAAAGCAATTTCAAAATGTTAAATACTATTTACCATCAAGAAAATCGGGAAGAAAACCCAGCATATCAATATCTGGAACACTGTCCAATACAGTGATCCATCCAACCAAAAACTGTCGGACATAGGGATTTAGAAAATNATATAAAGACATTTTCAAAATTATTTTTAGAGGAGGGAGAATATGACTCTATTTTTATACAAAATATGTGGACAATACAATAATATAGAGTAATTATAAAAAAAATAAAAATAAAGTATCGATAAAGAGAAAAAAAAAATTTATAAATAACCCAATAGATGTGACCAATTCAAGAAATATAATTGAAAGAAATCAACAAGTGTCACATTTTTCGTTATATATTCTTCACGCAAAAGATCAACTGCCTAACAACCAAATCACATTCTCAAACAGTATTCTTTATTTTAACCATATAATCCAAGACCTTTTCAATTTGAAGTGTGACACATTTGATATGACTTTGTAGGTGCAAATGTGATTGTAGATGCAAATGTGATATTTTAAATCATTCTCATTTCACTAATTACTTATTATAAGTTTTTATATATATATATATATAATAAACAACATGTTTCCACCTAAGGTTTAGCGAAATCTCAAGTTGATACCTCTGGTTTCATTTATTCAAGATTCTCACTTTTAAACTAACATTGTTTTCTTTATTTTAACAATTGAAGGGCAAAACGATCTTTTACTATAATTTGAAGTTAAAACATCAAAATAATCCCACGTCTCAAATTTCTCTCTACCTCCTCTTTGCCTCCACCTTTACCACCGTTGGCCAGAGATCTAGGTCGAGATCGCTGGTCTCATCCTACTGCCACCACCACCTAGCCACTGTTGTCGAACGACAAACCCAAACACTTCGAAAATCAACCAATCAACCCTAGAAATCCCAAAGAAACAAATCCAATTTGTCCAAAACCAAAACAAAATCAAACAAACACTATCAACCTCCATTTATAACCAAAGCTCTGACTCTCCAATCAATTCTTCGAAACAATCTCCAAAATTAACACAATTTCACAAAAAAAAACGCAATGAAGAACACGAACCTCTGGCCCAGCGAACAACAACTAACTAGTTGTTGGGGACATAGAGGTTTTGTAAACTGGGAGTTGTTGGTTGCAATAGTGGTGTCGAATTGGATTTTGGTCGTGGGAATCCGACGAACTAGGAGTGGAAAAAAAAAAAACCCAAAAACCGAATTGGACAAAAATCCTGTTTTTTTCGGTTTCAGTTTGATTATTAAAAAAACCGAAAATCCGGTTCGGTTTCGATTTTTGGCAAAATAAAATCCGATTACCTGGAACTGGTTTTCTTAACCGAATATTAAAAAAAAAAAATTGTGGTATTGTTTTTACGTTTTTTACTCTTGTCACTCTTGTCTAACACTAACACAACAGACTAACACTACACTCATTCTCTGATTCTCAGACTTCTCACTGCTACACGCCGCAGCCGTATTCTCTGTCTCTCATTCTCTGTCAAACTCACCTCACGGCTCACTCACCTCAAACCTTAGTAAGTCTCGCATTCTCTCTCAGTCTCAGTATTTGTCTCTCACTCTCACGCTCAGTCTCATTCTCTGTCTCTCACTCTTTGTCAGACTCTCACTGTCTCTCCGTTTTCAAATCTGTGTTCTCACGTCGTTGTCGCTCAGTTGCAGTTGTCGTCGTCATCTGTTCCTGGTGGGTTTTAAATCTGGGTTTTCAGATTTTTTTTGTCACGTCGTCTGTTTTCAAATCTGGGTTTTGACATTGAAGCATTTTGGTTTTAATTTGTATATGTACTGATGGCTAGGTTTTGACATTGAAGCATCAACACATTTTGCATATCAAATTTTGTGCAGCAAACACAACACCACTAATCTCATCTACCACGGCCAGACATAAATGATGCATGGAAAATATCTATATTGGGACCATCAGTCTTTCTCTGCTTCAAGTTCCATTCTCTTCTGCTCTGCTTTTAAGCTTTCGTTTCTTCATCTGCAAATGCAAAACCTCCCAATAGAATATGTAGATATATAAATTTTCAGTGCTAATATCAAATTTGTGTAGCAAACAGAACAAAAAGGAAATTGCAAAACAAGATTAAATGATAGAAAAATTACTTAATTAGTACAATATTTAGCGAAAAGAAATAGCTATTCTTTTTGTTTTTGGGCATAACAAGGCCGTTTAGTTTGCTTGATTAGCAGTTAAAAAGAGAAAACAAACGAATTGGGCCAAAAAATGCAGCCCAATATTAATCCTAATTAACCGGTTAACCGAACTGAATTTTCAATTCGGTTCATAACCGGTTTTTAATTGAAACCGGATCGGTTTCGGTTCAATTATTTTTTTGAACCGACAACTGGTTCGGTTCAAGCTTCTGGTTAACCGGTTTTTTCCACCCCTACCCTAAACCTAACGGCGCCGACAATTTGAGGGGCCAATGCGTCAAGAAACAAAAGGGCTTTAGAGTATGGACTATGGGAAAGATGATGGAGATGACAAGGGGGTTCAACTCCATCAACAACATCCCAGACCGGGCAAAAACCAAGAGGGGGCGCAGTCACTTGAGTTGCCAAAAAAGGCCCAAAACGGCTAGAAAAACAGTCAAATAGTGGTGAATGGGTGGAATGTTGATAGGTGGTGGTGGTGGTGGTAACTTTGGGGTTTCAAGAGGGAGAGAAAAGCATTGTTGTGGCTGAGGGAGAGAGAGATAGAGAGAAGCGCGGAAGAGAAGAAGAAGAAGATGGGAGGGTAGTTTGGTAATAGCATGTCGTTTACTCTAATTTTTAATTATTTGTTAG